TGTTATTTTTTAAAATTCTACTTGGAGTTTTCTGAACTTCTTGGATGTGTGATGTGGTGTCTTTTGTTTTTTTGTTAATTGTTATTTTAAAATAAACTTCAGTGTCTTCATATATTTATTTTGATTCATTTGATACACAGCCCATAGATGCTGTGTTTTCTTTTTCTCTTTGTGTTGTAGCTTGGGTAATGTCTGTTGACATCTGATTTGCCGCTGCTTTTCTCAGCTGGTAGTTCATGTATTAATCAGCCCATGGAAATGATTGTTTGTCTCTAATGTGATCTTGTGGAGTTTTCACCTTGGGCACATGTGACTAGCATTCAGCAGTGAATCTGATGAGAACGCTGTGTAGATTTTGTTAGGATTTCCTTCTTGAGCTCCTTCTTGGGTGTCCTGCCCGGTAAATGCTTTCTTCTTTATCCTTCCAGCAAGATTGTGATGCTCTGCTTGTCTTCTCCCTCCTTGGGCCTGGGAAACTTTCTCTTAAGGCAACAAGCTGAATCTGTGATGCGTTCGTGTCATTTGTCCGCTTTCCTCAGAGGTCTCGGTAGTGTGTTGCTTGGTGTCCAGTGTCTAAAAACAGTTGGTTTATTTGTTCTCCCTGCTGCTTACCCCCTGCAACCTCCCGCCTGCCAGCCAGTTTCTAAGTGTGTATATTAAGAGGGCAAGCCTGCTTCGTTTAAATTTTGACTTCAAGTCCAGAGTGAACTAAACATGTTTCACCTTGCTCATTAGCCAGCCCAAGGCTCCTCTTTTGCTTTGTTTCACTTTGTCATATTCTTTGATTCTAGTTTTTCCTTCATTTATTCTTTGGCGTATTAGAAAATTGGGTTATGTGTTGTAGATGATGAAATTAAAAAAAAAATTCTTGGAGGTCTGTCATTTTACACACGGATATGTCAACAGAGAAAATGCCTGCCTCAACAGATTAGAATGTGGTGAATTAGACATGTTTAGCAACATTCCTAAAGCTGGAGTCAGATGTAGGTGATCTGACTGAGTGTAAACTTGGCTTACAGTCCCAGGAACAACAGTATTTAGTTCCATTATGAATTCTCCTAGTAAATGATACTTCACCAAAGAAATGGACAGTATTATGTGGAAAAATCTGGATATCAGTGACTTAGTCAAAAAGTGATTCAGAAAAGTTAGACCCTGAAGAATATTTGTTGGAAAACCTAATTATAAGTGTGTGTGTGTCTGTTTTCCACAAGAGTGATGTATGATAAAACTTAAATCTAAAAGAGCTTTTTAGAAAAGGATAAAATTCCAAACTGATAAAGAAGTATTTAGTTTAATTAGCAGAGTTGTTTCTTTTTTAGTTGCATATAATGGTACATCTTGGAGAAGGCAATGGCAACCCAAATCAGTACTCTTGCCTGAAAAATTCCATGGGCAGAGGAGCCTGGTGGGCTGCAGTCCATGGGGTCACAAAGAGTCGGACACGACTGAGCGACTTCACTTTCACTTTTCACTTTCCTGCATTGGAGAAGGAAATGGCAGCCCACTCCAGTGTTCTTGCCTGGAGAACCCCAGGGACGGGGAGCCTGGTGGGCTGCCGTCTGTGGGGTCGCACAGAGTCGGACATGACTGAGGCGACTTAGCAGCAGCAGTGGTACATCTTACTATTGATGTTATTTTTAGATTCTGTTGAATAAGGTAGTATATTCCTCCTCCTACTTAATTTTTTATTTTTCTAACCTCTTCTCTTGGTTTTCTATTATATTGTGATTTATGTATGTTTTTGAATATATGTATACCCGTGACACATATTTTTTGTGTTTTAATTTTTATGAAACATATTGTGTCACAGATCTTATTTTCATTTCTGTTTTCACTTGACAAAATAGCCAGTCATGATGCTCCTGTACCTTTGATTCATTCCTTTTGACTGTTACATGATGTTTTCTAGTATATATCTAAGCACATTTTTATTTGTCCATTCTAGTAATTTTGATTGTTAAGGCTGCCTCTAAATTCCCTACTGTAACAAGTATCCAGTTTGTTGCAGGTATCCTCAAAGGTATTCCCTATTGACAGATGTGGGTTGTTCTCTCTTAGCTCTGTACACACATACACACACACACACACACACACACACACACAAATGTAAACACATGTATATATGTAGTTACATATATGTATACATGTGCTGGATGTGTATATTTTTATGTTGTGTAACTATGTACAAATCACAGGAGTGGGATTACTGGGTAATAAGTATATGAAAATTCAATGTAGGTTGCTTTGCCAGATGTCTCTTCATGAAAATTCTTGTTTTTCCATATCCTCCCTCATATTTTTGGTATTCTAATTTTCTATTAATTTAATGGGGGTAACATGTTATTTTATCATCTTAATTTGCAAATTTTGGTTACTGCTGAGTTAGAATATCTTTCTATGTACTTGAAAAGTAGTATGTCTTCCCTTCCTGTGAATTAGGAATTGGTATCCTTTCCCATTTTTTCTGTTGGAATTTCTGTCTTCCATGTTGATTTACAAGAATTGCTTGTTTTATGGTGATACAGGAAGCATAAATGGTCACAGCACAGGCTTTAATCTATTTGTGATTTCTTCCTTGTTTTTGATGCTGCCACTGTGTCAGATGTCCATAAAAAGTTTGAGAGGGTCCATAAATATTTTGGGGGGTCTGTATAAAGATTTGGGGGCTGCATAGAATTTCAGAAATCGCTATAATATTTAGCTTGTCTACCAGTTCATATACTTGCTGTGTTTGTACTTATGCTTAGGTCTTCTAGCTCATTATCTTTGAATGCTATTGATAGGCAGAGTAGAAGGAGAAAAAAAAAATTAAAGAAAGAAAAAAGGAGAAAAGAAAAGGTATGACTTAGTGACCAGAGAAATCAAGGAGTAAGTGGTATTTGTGAAAAAGGGTAGAGCACAAGTGATTTGAAGATTCCAGGCTTAGGGGCTGACATAGACCTGAAGAGATCTTTATAAACAAAAGGAAGATGTGTTCTTCAAAGTCATTCTATAATTCTTTGACTCAGCCTTTTCTAAGATTAAGAGAATTACCTTCAACTCTTCCTTTTTCTTACTAATGAAACTATGTATATAGCCCACTCAAGAAGGACAGTTTTCACTCTTTTTGGAGTTTGAATGCTCAGAGATGGATGGGTTTAGAAAACTGGAAGATTAAAAAGTAGAATATGATTCATAATAGTTAGGTAATCCTAATAATCGTGAGGTTTGGAGTATTCAAAATGTTAAAATTTTGGGACTTTCCTGGTGGTACAGTGGATAAGAGTCAGCCTACCAATGCAGGAGACACGAGTTTGATCCCTGGTCCAGGAAGATCCCACATACTGTGGAGCTACTGGGTCTGCCTGCCACAGCTACTGAGCCCGCACTCCAGAGCCTGTGCTCTGCAAGAAGAGAAGCTGCCACAGGGAGAAGTCCGTGTGCAGCCATGAAGACCCAGATTAATTAATTAATTAAAAAATGTTAAAGTTTTGAAAGCTATATGCTGTTCATATGTAATTGAGTAAATATTCCTATCTGTAAAAAAAAAAAATGGCCTTAAGATACCTGCTTGAGCACCCAGTGATCTGCTGTACCAGTGTAAAATAAAATTTGTCTACCCCAGATCTACTCTTCAGCATCCTTCAGTCACAGACCGGGATCACAGAGCACCCTGGGCAGCTCATCCGCCTGTCCTCAGGAGGGACTCCCACCCCTCTTCCTTCTTCATCAGACGGAGCAAGATGGACTTCGTTTCAAAAGAACTACCGAATCTCCACATTTAAGAGATTTCTCCTTCTTCTGAGTCTGGGACAGTAAAGGCTTGACAAATCCAGTGCAGTCTATGCCAGGATACTATAGGTGATGAAACGCCGAGCTTGTGCAACATTGAGACTTAGTTTACTTAAAACCTCACATTCTAAGATGGTACTTATGCCCAGGAAACTTTTCTTGAAGGGAGTGGATAAATTTTCATTTGCAGTTTAATTGTCATGTATCATCAATAAGGACTGGATTTGCATACCAGTAACAGAAAACTCGATAAATATTGGCTTAAGCAAGTGAGGATTTGCTTTTCTCATGTAATGTGAAGTCCAGAGAGAGACAATTCATGGCTGATGCCACTGCTGGAGAATGTTACCAAGGAACTCATATCCTGTCTTCTTAGCCTATGGTTGTTGTCTTTGTGGTCACAAGATGGCTGTTTTATCTCTGGAGACTTCATGGAGTTTTTGGAAGGAAGAACGGAGAAGGATAAAGGGAAATTGCTTTTTGTAAGGCTTTGCATATCTTTGGTGGACTGTATCCTCTCAAGAGATTGATAACCACCTTTCCTTGGCCAGAACATGTGGCATAGTTGGTGTGACTTGATATTTAACTTATTGTATGTGAAAGTAGTATGGAATAGTGATGGAGAACATGCACCTAAGTTTGAAAATTTGGCTGTTACTTCCTAGCTCTGTGACTTTAACATCACTTGTGTCAGTTTCCTTATCTATAAAGGATTGAGTTAATATGTCATTATTTAAGTGGACATACATAGCTTGTGTTAAGTATTAGTTATCATTAGCATCTTCACCGCCTGGAAGAGTTATTGACATTGTTTAACTGTAAATTTATCACTCAGGAAATTAGTTTTCTTTGAGATAGAAAATAAAAGAGCATTTAGATGGGTAGGTCTTGTGTGTCTGGTACCAGGGATGATCAAAAAGATGGTAGAACTTAATTGCTTTTGTGATTGCACCACACTGTGAAAAGTTACGGACAAGTTGAAATATTGGGGTCAGTTAAATTATTCATTTCATTCATTTTAGAACTTGATGGCCCACAAATTATTTTTTTACCAGCAATCCACTAAAGTTCATTCAGTCCAATAGAAATTTCATCTCTCATCAGTAAAAAGTTTGAAGACTTACCTGTGTACTGAAATATGATTTTGTTGATACTGTTATGACTTCTTCCAATTTGTAATTATTCTGCTTAAAAAATGTATTAATTATTTTTCTATTTGTTTTTAGCCCCATCTGCTTTGATATGATCGAGGAAGCATACATGACGAAGTGTGGTCACAGCTTTTGGTAAGATGATTTTATTTAGTGAAATTGTCTTCTGGCAGTTTTTAACTTGTGTGTAAATGTAGCCAGTGAAAAGTTGCATTTTTATAGTTACTGTTGGTTATTTTGAATCATATTTCCTTGACTGATACACCTTTATAGGTTTGACTTCTCAAGGCAAAGGTGGTTAATGGTGTAGTTTCTGTGAAGTAATTTGATTTACCATGAAATCAAATATGAAATTATAATTAATAAACTTCTGGGTTTATTAACTGTTTAAAGAGCTTTGACTGTTGTTTTAGGAAACTGGAGGGTGCTGGGTATCAGAATGAAGCATGAAACACCTTTAACTCACTCATGGGGGTCAGATGTGAGGGTCATTAAAGCAGGCTAGCAGGTCATTGAAAAAGGATATTAGAGGATTAAAAAGTTACGCTCCTTTAACACTGTGCTCAGGGCTGTCTTTAGGTTATATGTCACATAAATTTGTGTATTTTGAAAGAGTTTCAGTTGTGATGAAATACACATATCATAAAATTTACCATCTTAACCATTTTTAAGTGAGTAATGTTGAATATTGTTCACATTGTTGTGCAGTCAGTCTCCAGAATGTTTTCATCTTGCAAAACAGAAACTATCCTTATTAAATAAGTCCCCGTATCCCTCTTCCCCCAACCTCTGCCAGTCACCATTCTACTTTCTGTGGTTTTTGACTTCTCTGGATGCCTCATATAAGTGAAATCAACCAGTATCTGATTTTTGTGACTGGCTCATTTCACTTAATGTAGTGTGCTTGGGTTTCATCCATGTTGCAGCACGTGTTACAGTTTCCTTCGTTTTTGAGGCTGAATGACATTTAACTGCATGTACGGTTGGCCCTACATATCTGCAGGTTCAGCATCTGTGGGTTTAACCAATTAGGGTTCAGAAGTATTTGAAAAAAATTCCAGAAAATTCTAAAAAGAGAAACTTGAATTTGCAGCTCACTGGCAACTATTTCCATAGTATTTACATCATATTAGATATTATAAGTGATCTAGAGATGATTTAAAATATACAGGAGGATGTGCAGTAAGCTATATGCTAATACTGTGCTATTTTGTATAAGGGACTTGAGCATCCTTGGATTTTGGATCCATGGAGGTCCTGGAAGCAATTCCCTGTGGATACTGAGGGATGAGTGCATATATCATACTTCGTGTGTTCATCTCTCTGTGGACATTGGAGTTGCTTTCATCTGTTGGAACTGTGGTTAATAATGCTGCTTTGGACACTGATGTATAAATAGCCTTTTGAAATCCTGCTTTCAGTTCTTTCAGGTGTTTACCTGGAAGTAGAATTGCTGGATCATGTGTTAAATCTGTTTAATCGTCTGTAGAACCGCCATACTGTTTTTGCTACCTGCAGTACAATTTTACATTCCCCTCAACAGTGTTCAAGGGCTCCAGTTTGTCTGCATCCTCTCTAGTACTTGTTGTTTTCTGGTTTGGTTCTTTTTTTTTTTTAAATAGTGGTCATCCTAATGAGTATATAATTTCTGTATGTTTAATTCCTTTAGTTTGTTTATTTACCTATTTGATTTGGGGTGATACTTGTAATCATCTCCCTAAATTATTTACACTGTTTATTTAATATTTCTGTTGTGTTCTAATATACCCAACAGATATACCTGCATCTTTAACAACCCAGTAGCAACTGTTTTGCTCCCAGTTGTAGCAAACAAAAATGTCTCCAGCCATTGCTAGATATCCCTTAGGAGACAAAATTGCCCTTAGTTGAGCATCCTGATGTAAAGCTAAAAGAGCAAGGTCTTGAAGTCGATGGACCAGGAATCTAATTCTGGGCTCTGGGTCTAAAATTTACCTTTGTCAAGTCATTCAGCCCATTTTCTGCTGCTCTCCAACGCTCAACCCCCATTGTCTTCATGTCCTGTGACCTCTTCTTCTTTCACAGATTTGAAAGTGAAGTGTGAAACAGGTTGTGAAGTGAGATTTTCATTTTTCCTAACTGCCCTCCTCTAACATAATTTACTGTGGCATTTAAAAAAAAACTTAAGAGTCTGGTAAATCAGTTCAGAGATCTTGTTTCACTAAGTTGTGAAATATAATAAATTACAGATAGACTTTATAACTAGACAGTCCTACCCTTTTCAGTGAGTCCTGTAATCTTCATGGTATGTCTTTAAGTCATTGTTGGGAAGCTCCATTGTTTTCTTAAATACCCTTTTTTTCTTTCAAATAAAAATAAAGTTTAGATCCTTGTTACAGTTCAAGTTACTGTGTTACACTCTGATGTGATTATGTTTTAAAATACATACCAGGGAGCAGGTTTTGGTAGGATAGAGATAATAACATTGGCAGGTGCCAATAAACCTGGAGTCTGAGAATCCAAGTCCCAGGCTTGATAAACTATGAAATATTTTTGTGGTGGTGGTGGTTTAGTTGGTAGGTCATGTCTGACTTTCAACCCCATGGACGGAGGAGCCTGGCAGGCTACAGTCCATGGGATTCTCCAGGCAAGAATACTAGAGTGGGTTGCCATTTCCTTCTCCAGGGATCTTCCCAACCCAGGAATTAAACCTGGGTATCCTGCATTGTAGGCAGGTTCTTTACCAACTGAGCTACAGGGGAAGCCCCTAAATATTTTGTACTTTTGTTTAAAGCAAAAGCTCATAATTATTTACTTTATCTAATATGTGAGGCCTATGGAACTTTAGTCATGAACAGTAGCCTATTGTATCAACTCTTTGCCAACTTGAACCCTGGGTATGGTAACCTGGAGTCAAGCTGTATGCCACTTCCAAGGCTCAATCCAGATTATTAACACTAAATCAGATTGAGCCACATACTGTTTATCCCTGGTCCCACTTATAAATGATAAGTCTTTCCTGGTAACACGTTGGAGACCATATAGCAGGAAGTCTTTTCTCTTTATTCATTCCCACTTCACAGTGAATCTGCTATTAATATTAGCTATAGTCTAACTTAAACTCAGTGATGTCATTTAAAAAAACTGGCTTCTGTATGATACAGAGATAAGGCTTGCTCTTTCTCTTTCCCCCTTGCGGTCTCCAGGTTGTCCCCTGCTTCTCTGACCACATGTATATCAATTGCTGATTTTCTATTTTGCTTTATTACAAATTAGTTATAATTAATAGGGTCCCTCAGTGTTGTCATCACAGCATACCTGTGATCAAGCCTGAGGGTCAGTTTGTCTGTTGGGACTTTTGACTAATCCTCCATCTTGTGCTTTACTAGTACCAGGTTGTTATATACAACCACTAGTACTATCTGTTCTTTCTGTACCCCCTTCTTTTTTGAGAATTTTCTAATTACTCAGTTTTCTTTATCTATTCATCCCTGTTGACTCAGACAGAAAAATCTATTATATTTTGTAGGTAGGTATCAAGAGCTTCCCTGTTAGCTCAGATGGTAAAGCGTCTGCCTACAATGTGGGAGACCCGGGTTCAACCCCTGGATCAGGAAGATCTCCTGGAGAAGGAAATGGCAACCCACTCCATTATTCTTGCCTGGAAAATCCCATGGATGGAGGAGCCTGGTAGGCTACAGTCCATGGGGTCGCAAAGAGTTAGACACGACTGAGCGACTTCACTTCACTTCACTTCAAGCACTTAATAGGAGAAAGAGAACAACTATATATATCTGTGGAGAAATAGTCATTCTTTGTGATCAGATCTACACTTATTAGGGAACACAGGTACTCATTTATGTCAGCACACTGTGGTACTAAGTTTTTTTTAAGAGTTGCAGTGTGATTAGCTGTTGAAAATATATATATCCTTCTTATCTCTTTATGCTCACCTATTTTGATTGCTAGTTTAGGTACTTTCTCTTCTTTTGGAATCCACAACATTGCGTTTGGACTTGTGATGGTCAAGTAGATAGATGAATGAGAATGAACTAGAGTTATTGTGATAGGGCTCCTCAGGCAACACTAGTGGTAAAGGACCTGCCTGCCAGTGCAGTAGATATCAGTCGCAGGTTCAGTCTCTGGGTTGGGAAGATTCCCAGGAGGAGGGCATGGCTACCCACTCCAGTATTCTTACCTGGAGAATCCCCATGGTCAGAGAAGCCCAGCGCCTACAGTCCATAGGGTTGCAAAGAGTCGAACATGACTGAAGCGACTTAGCATGCATGCATGTGATAAGAAATACTGAAACTTTCTAGGAGTATTTTATATGACCCAGAAGGCAACAGAAGTATGTCTCTTTTTTGTTTATATTTGTTTTTTCCTGTATTCAACATTTATTGAGTTCCAGCTCTTCAGTGGGCTGGATATTGAGGATAGAGAGAGAAATGAAACAAATCTCTGCTTTTAATTAGCAAATAGAAGAACTGCTCTGAGACATATACACAGATTAAGTACAGAATAAGACAGCAAATTTGGAAAACTCAGCAGTGGCCACAGGACTGGAAAAGGTCAGTTTTCATTCAAATGCCAAAGAAAGGCAATGCCAAAGAGTGCTCAAACTACCACACAATTGCACTCATCTCACAAGCTAATAAAGTAATGCTCAAAATTCTCCAAGCCAGGCTTCAGCAATATGTGAACCGTGAACTTCCAGATGTTCAAGCTGGTTTTAGAAAAGGCAGAGGAACCAGAGATCAAATTGCCAGCATTTGCTGGATCATCAAAAAAGCAAGAGAGTTCCAGAAAAACATCTATTTCTGCTTTATTGACTATGCCAAAGCCTTTGATTGTGTGGATCACAATAAACTGTGGAACATTCTTAAAGAGATGGGAATACCACATCACCTGATCTGCCTCTTGAGAAACCTGTATGCATGTCAGGAAGCAACAGTCACAACTGGACATGGAACAACAGACTGGTTCCAAATAGGAAGAGTACGTCAAGGCTATATATAGTCACCCTGCTTATTTAACTTATATGCAGAGTACATCATGAGAAATGCTGGGCTGGATGAAGCACAAGCTGGAATCAAGATTGCTGGGAGAAATATCAATAACCTCAGATATGCAGATGACACCGCCCTTATGGCAGA